GCAGATAACTTGAAAACTCTTTGTTTAATTTATATGGTTATGGTTATATGGTCATTTCAAATAAGCATTCCCATCTTTTGCATTTTCTGTAATTTACCTTGTCAAATTTCACTGCATAGAAAAGATGTTCCCATCTCTGATTTGTGTATGTACAATGGATTTATGAATACACGTTTTGACAATGAGATGTTGTCAAATGAATAATTTTGAAACAAATTGTAAACATATGACCTTACCTTCTTAAACATATGACCTTAACCATGGTTAAAACTCTATGCAAAATATAAAATTTTGAAATATTATACGATTTGCCATATTTCGTACATTAAACGAAACATTTTTTCCTTCTAATGTCAAAACAAGAAAACATTTTTTATGAATATGACACTTTGGGAGACAATGAGCTAAATATGTGCATAGATATTATCCATATTATTCTCGTATACATTGCAAGGATTTCATTCAAAGTGAGTTAGGCTTGACTCCCGTCCTTAGAGTTTATAACAAAATGTATTCCGTGTCCAATATTTAACATTGTCTAATGGGAAATTTGTAAAACGAAAATCAGTTCGTATCACTGCCTTCAAAAAATGTAAAGTAATTATATTTTTAAACCACTTTTAGAGGCAATAATAAATCTATATGTCCCCGATAAATTCTATGCATAGAAGCTAAATAGATAATTTCATTGTCACCAACGACTTTCCTGTCGTCGGAACCTCTATTGTATTTGCTTCTTGTTTATGGCTCTGCTAGAAATGCATAACAATAACGACAAATTATATTCCAGTAATGGAAAATTTTAATTGAAATTTTATCAAACATTTCGTAAACACGTAGCAAGTTGTTCGACACAACTACATTTGTAGCAACACATGTATATGAGCCATAAAGTATTTTTCTACATGGGTTTGTTGGCGGGCAGGTTGGAAGTGATATGTGTGCAATGGCGTACATGCAATTAGGTAAAGACAACGGTGCGGGTTTAATGTAGGTATGTATATATTTTAAAGATTGACAGTTGTTCTGCACTCTTACTATGTAAGTTGCAGGTAGCGCAGTGGTAAGCGCGAAGAAAACACACACTTCTTTTTCATATTTGCCACTGTGCCAATCAAGCCCAACCACTTATAGTGGCTGCCACCATTGTTCAAAACGAATTGCTTTATCAGGGCAGGCGTACCGTACCGCACAAATATTCCTAACAAGTATTCATATGTCGGTTAGCTACAGTACTATCTCTTGATTTGAGAAATTCAGGCTGGTGTATCGTGCTGTTAAAAAAGTGCAGGTCGAACGCAGTTTGCGCGCGTGTGTGTCTGTAAAATTTTGTAGATTGCATAGCATTTCAAATGTATGACAGTAATAGACGTTAAACAGCCAGAATGACATTATATTGTAATTACTCTTGCAAGGTTTATTGCACTTAAACATATATACAATACAGATATAATTATAGGTAGAACTGAAGTTATATACTTTTGATAAAAATGCTGACGAGTTTACTTAATGAGTTTTTTAATGAATTATTAAATATTATAGGTTTTTTTTAAATAACGATATGAAATTTGCAACAAAAACAAGAATAAAATGTACGGCATTATTTCTGAAGCACAGAACAATCACAAAAACTGTAACGTGTGTCCCCAATATCTAAAGGTAAAGAACTATTAGGCGACAGTCTCATGAAAGTTCACGACTTCTTAAATCTCGGTTCACGTTATCGTATAACCCCCATATAACTGCACCGCACAAATATTCGGTATTGTGACGATTTAGAGTTTGTAGTGGTTTCTACAAAAGAAGGCAGAACATTGTCTACATACTTCTACAGCCCTCATATTAAGGTATCTCCCGATATTGTGTATTTTCAACTTGGGCATTTCATGTTTACAATAGATAACCACTATGGAAAGTAACTGCTTATATAGTTCCTCTTTTAGCTGTAGCCCCCTATATCGGTACCTCCCGATATTAGGTATTCTCATGATATAAGCTACATGTTTTAATGGATTCGTTTAAAATTTGATATTTAAAATTTGTAGTGGGTTCTACATTCTGCAGTATAACATTTTCTATTTAGTTTCACGTTTTCCTGTATCACCCATACATCAGCACAATCGAATATTCGGGTTTTTTAGCCACATTTTTCATCGGAAGTGTTTCAAATTTGATATTTGTTTTTCGCAATATATACTAACCACTGTGGCATATAACTGTTTACATAGGTCCACGTTTTTCCATTTCCTCCATATAACAGTACCTCCTCTTATTTTGAATTTCTATGATTTTAGTCACATTTACCTAACTGTCCAACGAACAAATCTAAGCAATTTGTTCATATTCAAAATCAAAAACTATTTCAAAAATCAATCTGTATTAACAAATTCTACAAATGCAACTTTAATGAAAGGTGCAAAAATATTGTATATGATCATCTCATCCGTGTCATCCGCATTTGTTGATTGTTTTATGATTATAACAACCACTTTGTAACTTTGGCGGACCGGATTTCAGGTCAGTTGTTCATGCTTAAAGAGCTATGTAACAAGAACCGCTGCGTGCTTCAATACCGAAATTATGGCCATGGAGAAGATAGCCTTTTGGGGACGGATCTTGTCTGTCCTACTCGCCTCAATAGGGGACCATGAAATCTGGTCTATGCATACTTGCAAAATGAAAGCCTTTTTGTTGAGTTTGTGAAACCACCGAATATTATAATATCAGTAACTTCAATTACTTACTCCGAAGATGCTGGTACCTATCTGACTACCATGGTAGAACTATGGTACAATGAAATAAAGGTAACCTCATTTGAAATTAGCATTCCCAGCTCTGCCTTTTCTGTAATTTACCTTGTCAAATATCAATGCATAAAAAACAGTCCCCATCTCTGATTTTGTGTGTATACAATGGATTTATGTATATGGATTTTGACAATGAGCTGTTGTCAAATGTGTAAATTTGAAAAAAATTATAAACATATAGTCACATGACTTTACCTTCTTAGTTCTTCCATGGGTAGAACCATGGGGAAGAACTAAGAAGGTAAAGTAATGTAATCATATGTTTACAATTTTCTCAAATATATGCATTTGGCAACATCTCATTGTCAAAAATCAGAGATGGAACTGTTTTTTATGCATTGAAATTTGACAAGGTAAATTACAAAAAAATGCAGAGCTGGGAATGCTAATTTGAAATGGGGTTACCTTTATTTTATTGGAGCATGTTGACAATGAACCTGCTCCTTCTTTTCCCTTAATAGTTGTCCTCTATCCTGTCTTGTCCCTATTGCCTGTTACTAAGAAATTTCATTGCACTCTTATTGTTAAAAAATGCAATCAAACCGATGTAATATTGTTTGGCTTCCTTTACTCGACCAAGAATACGACGAAAAGCAGCAATCCATATGAATCTTTGACAAATCGTTAGTTAAATACAGTGAACGGCAGTCGCTAATGGTAAATGCTTGGGCCCGTTATTGGCTACAGCTAGCATCGATTCTAATTGGAAAATATCTGAATCCAAACATCGAACCGTGCATTCATTAATTTAGCATAATAAAAACACGTTCATCATAATTAAATATTTAAGCTGAATTTATAAGATACAAGCGCTCACGGAATGGACGTATATGTGTGTTGAGACCTTTTAAAACATTCCTAAAAATTATGGCGATTGGTTAAATTGTTCGCAGCGATATACTTGGGTTGTTATAAACGACCACGGGTCAAAACATGTTTTTTTTTAATGGTGTAGTCTTCATTTAAATCAAAAGCATTCACATGCCCCGGAGAAAATAAATATCATCAGAGTCAAAGCTGTCTGTCTGTATGTACGTGCACATGTGTATGTTTTTAAGGCAATCACAATTTTGGATTGAGTTTGAGAAAAAGTATACCGAAATCTAAGAAATATGGTTCGATGGAATCATTTATCATAGTTTCATTCATACTTAAGTCAAAATGAATGGAGAGATGGATGGATGGATGGATGAATGAAATGGCAAATGGGCGAACATTTCGCAGCAAATACTGAATCAATTGGGCTATGAAAACGACAACACCATTCACAAATATCGGCATCGACATTTGTAAGCGATCAATCGATCATCTATTTGATCGATTTAATGAATGAATGAATGGATAGCTTTTCAGACCGCAAAGCTAACCGAACGAGCCAGCAGTCTGTTTTGTTCAAACTATAGGAACTGCCAAAAAAGTTCAACGGCCAGGAAATGATGTTGTGAACACGTTCTCGTTATCAACATTAAGAGCAACGGGCGTTAGAGTCGATATAGCGGAAATTGCGTTTATTTCGATCCATAACAGACAAACATTTCGTCATGTGTTAACTGCAGACTCAGCACCTTTAGTAGATGTTGATAGTATCAAGAATTTGCCCTGCTCTATAGGAGATCTATTGACTGATATTCGAATGTTCTGAACAAGCGCGTTTGGATGGATCAACATGGCATGACATAAATGTTTAAGTAATTTTATTAGTAATTGTGGTCGCACACTTGGATTTGCCACCAAATCAATTTCAGCAATAAGCACGTTTTGCTCCCAATGTGACACATAACAGTAAATAATTTCAAAACTTACAACTTCTGCAAATACCATGCACTCGTACATGTTTATGTACATATGTATTTAATTTTTGAGTCAGCAGCTGTGTAGCTGGACGATGAAGGGAGCATATATGACAGAGCCTACTAGTGTCGTGTTGTACGGGTTTTAGCTGGCTATGAGCCTGTTTGTTGTTATTCAATATCAATACTTTATCTCAGCTAAAACCAAAGCTATTCACATACATATGCCAAACATCGGAATATCGGCGAAACGCATGATCTCGCATGGAGTGTGGCATAGTGTTGCTTAACAAATACTGCTCATTTTGCTTTGCTTTGCATTTGCATCGCGTTTTTTTTTTGTACAATTGTCATTGCAGTTGTGATTGAAACCATTTCTCTATTTGTTTCTTGCTTGTTACAGTCGCATGAACTCCACTCGGATGATGAACTGCGCGATTGCGATTCCGATGAAGGAGACCACATGACAAGAGTTCGATCTCGCCTAAATGCGTCCATGACTAGCAATGGCGGTGCTGACATCAGTGGTCATGAACACACCGGCGATATGCAAATGAGGTTTGTGTTTTTTAAGAGAGCTCTGTTGTTGATTTTTGTGACCGTCGAAATTTTTTTATTCACTTCCACAGCCAGCACCACCATCATCAGTTTCCAGCAAATCATCCTCTGAACGCTCTCAACAATTTTATGGGTATGGGTGGTTTGCATGGAATACCCAGTCTGCAGCACAACGATGTATTGGAAAAGCTAAAAATGCAAGTGCGTGACATGAAAGTGGGCTTGATGGTAAGAACTGAAGGTGGTGTTTAAAGATTTAAGAAATCGGTAAATATTTCCTCTTCCCCGCACATTAGGATCAGGAATATGCTGCTGCACATGCGGCAGCTTTTGGAGCAAATGTGTTGTCCTCGCCAATTAATTCGGCGTTTTCTTTGCCACCCACAACAATGGCTTCCTTTACGCATGCCGCCCAGACGTTGGCGGCACAGGCTAACAATAACCTAAACTCGCACTTGAGTGCAAGTACACCGACAGCTTCAACGCCTGCTGCAGGCGGATGCTTGCCTAATGGAAACCACAATAACAGTTCCAACTTTTCGTTTACCTCACCTACGGTGCCGAATCCAAAAGACGGTAAGTAACACACCAAACACACACACACACATCTTCAATGACTAATAAATCATTCGAATCCCAACGAAATTTTCAATCAAAAGCATAAACAAATTCTCCAAAGCTTCTAACTCGTTTAAGACGCCCCGTTGTAGTGTTTAATTATTTTTTCTTCTCATTAACAGAATATTTGTATTTGCTTTCTTGTGTCCTTTCATATAGGAAATCCAGCCTCGAATTCGTCAACATCCAGTGAAACTTCAAATTCATCGCAGCAGAACAACGGATGGAGTTTTGAGGAGCAGTATAAACAAGTCCGCCAGGTAAGTGAAGTTCATGCGGTTAGCTTCTTATTCCTCCATAATTGTGCGGTGTTTGTCATCAGCCAGCATCATCATTAGCATTATTTTCCTTAAAATATGTCAATTTTTTTTCTTTTTTTTTTTTTTGAAAAAGAAAACCGGAAATATTGTCAAATTTTCTTTGATTATTGAAGACAGTAATGCCACGCCAAAGATGGAAACACGCTCATTAGGATTCCTTGACCAGCAGCTTCACAATCTGTAACATCTAAATGTGCCGTCTGTTTGTCATTAATAGCGTGATAAATGAAACACACACAGCTATTTGCATCCACGTTGCAAGTTGGCATAAAGGGGTTGAATACGATTCGATTTAGTAAAAGAAAAATTGTTGTCTATGAAAATTTTCTTTCAGATACTTTTTGTTGGCTCTTAACATTTCTACGAATATTTGCTGGCCAAGTAATTTGAGGTTATTTCCCAAAAATTTCTTCACCTGTTTTAATTAAGTTTCCAATTGCTTTTCCCTAATCATTAGAGGACTATTGCAACTATTATCGTTCTCATTCGAGATACAAATTGTTGTTACAAACACAATTACGCTCTCCAATTTTCCGCATATAAAATTACGCATAAATGGTGTGAACCACAGCAGCTTGCGCATACAAAAAGTCAGCCATTCAGCCTATGTGAAAGACATCGAAGACCAAGCGAGGCAAATCGGTTTCGTTTATTGCAACACTTGTCGGTAGGAAATAAATTATTTCAAATCAAGGATAATATAACGGTTTATGTAGCTGATGTGCAATTAAATAGACTTCGTTAATTGTTGCACTGTTGCATTTTTAAGGTTGTGAGTTAATTTTTAAACAGATATAAATGTCTTCGTCGACTATAAATAATTCGGAGAATCTTTATTTACATTCAATTAGTATTCAACAAAATTCACAATACCAAGAATATAACAGTACTCCTTTATACGGCGGCATGATATCAAAGGAAAAGTAATTGAGATCATTTGAAAATGTCAAAAAATGTTGTAAAATAACGAAATATAACGAAATACATTTAAACCACTGATGTAAAAGAGACAGTACATAAAAATGTATCCATTTATGTGAACTATGTGTCCTGGGGCTGGATTCTTGTTCTATGAAAATATGAAATGAAAAATATTTCCTTTATAATATTTCTCATTTGACATTTCTTTCCTCTATAAAAGTTTTCATTTCACTTTCATAGAACAAGAATTGAGGCCCTGGATGTAAAATAAAGAAAGTAAAATTAGTAAGTTCCCTTGTAAGATGTCAAGCATGTGTACAATTCATATTTTTTGTAACAGTAGTTTTCCTTTCGATTGGAATTTTTGGCGAAAGAAAATATATTTTAGGTTTTTGTAGTGCATGTTTTTTTCTGTGAGTGAAAAACACAATAAACCTTTTTTCCCCTTGTATTTTTGGTTTTTGTAACGAAACTGTCAGAATAACAAACGATAAGAGAAGACCCATTGGTTTGAACAGAAATTGGCTGGTTGAAAAAAATCTTTTTGTTAGCGGATATTGTAGGACCATATTCTTTAAATATTTACTCAATATGTTTCTATTTTATTATTATTTATTGGGGTTGGCACAATCAGCACAACTCTTAATTAAATTATATAAAAAAATAACAAAATAATTCTTACAATTTTTATGAAAACCCATACTACGATTCGAAAGTAACTTTTTTGTTACAAAAACAGGCTGTAAGTTAAATAAAGAGGCGAAAATTAGAACATGAATTATGAAGTTTACTTTGAAAAGCGTCGCTGGCGAATATTACGTTATTATATTTCCAAGATTTAGTAAAAATTGTTGACATTTTCTGTAAAAAGTGCCAGAAGTGATTGTGATATTTAAAAATATATAAACAAGTAAAAAAGCAGTAAGTTCAGGGCCGAACTTTGAATACCCTCCACCATTTGGAACGAATCAGGACATTTTCATTATTCTGTTAAAATCTCTGTCAGGGGTAAAGTGTTCACAAAGAACCCCTTGTGTAGAATTTCAGACAATTCCGTTGAAAAATGTGGCTAAAATCATCAAAATACCGAATATCGGGGGGTACTGTTATATGTGGAATATATGATATCGTGGACTTATGTAGATAAGTCTCTTTCAATGAATAAAGTGCTCACAAGGAACTCGTTGTGCGGATTTTCAGACTATTCCATTGGAAAATGTGGCTAAAATCATCAAAATCGCGATTATCGGGAGATACCGTTATATGGGGTTTATAAGATATTTTGGACCTATATAGACAATTCCCTTTCAAGGGGTAAAGTGCTCACAAGTAACCCCTTGTGTAGAATTTTAGACAATTCCTTCGAAAACTGCGGTTTAAATCATCGAAATACCGAATATCGGGGGGTACTGTTATACGGGGGATATACGATATCGTGGACCTATATAGACAATTCTCTTTCAGGGGGTAAAGTGCTCACAAATAACTCCTCGTGTGGATTTTCGGGCTATTCTATTAGAAAGTGTGGCTAAAATCATCAAAATACAGAATATCGGGGGTACCGTTATATGGGAGCTACACGATATCGTGGACCTACAAAAATAATTCTCCCCAAAGGTATAAAGTACTCACAAAGAACTCCTTGTGTAGAATTTCAGACAATTACATTGAAAAATGTGGCAAAAATCATCAAAATACCGAATATCGGGGGATACCGTTATATGGGGGATATACGATATCGTGGACCTATATAGAAAATTCTCTTTCAGGGAGTAAAATACCGAATATCGGGAGGTATCGTTATTTTTGGGGGCTATACGATATCGTGGACCTATGTAGATAATTCTCTGCCAAGAGATAAATTGCTCTTAGAGAACTGCTTGTGTGGATTTTCATACAATTCCATTAAAAAATGTGGCTAAAATCATCAAAATACCGGATATCGGGGGTACCTTTATATGGGGGCTATATGATATCGTGGACCGATATAGCCCATCTTCGAACTTGACATGCCTGCAGACAAAAGAGAGATCTGGGCAAAATTTTAGCTTTCTATCTTAATTCGTTTAGCCTGTAGCGTGATTACAACAGACGGTCGGACAGGGCTAAATCGTCTTAGAATTTTACGCTGGTCAAGAATTTATATACTTTGTTGGGTCTAAAATGATTATTTCGATGAGTTACAATCGGAATGACGAACTTAATATACCCTCCATACTATGTATGGTGGAGGGTATTTTAGAGTACTCTGTGAACATAATTTGCGAGAAAAATTTACGGTGGCGGACTAAACTGATTAAATCATATTGGAGTTATAACCATGAGACTCATGTCAAGGCACTGTATTTCCACAGAATAACATTAACCTTAATATTAACCAGATTTACTGAAGTTGTTAAATATAATAGATATCACAAAATGCAATTTCCGAAGGTCATTTCAATGTCCCTACAAAAGCTCAAATTTTTGAACATTCGTGAATCTAGCATATTTTTGTCAAAGTAGTCTGAATCCAAGTTCGGTCAACTGTCTGTCTGGTCTACATCCGAAGATGGGCTACATTGGTTCACTTCATCTGGGAAACTTATTAACGTGTTTCAGCCATAAAACTCACAAAGCAAAAAAACACATTTTACACGACATTTTACACATCGGTCATAGGCTGAAGGATAAATCAGTCAGCAAAACTTAATAATTAATGAAAATACATAGCATAAAGGAACTATTCAGATTTCATTAGATCAATTGTGCGATTCTGTAACTAGTTAATGACAATTATGGATCACAAAAAAGTCCAATTGCTTTTTATACCCTCCACCATACTATGGAGGGTATATTAACTTTATCATTCCGTTTGTAACTCCTCGAAATACTCATGTCAGACCCGACAAAGTATATATTCTTGTCCGTGTCCGATACTACAGCCGAAGACAGAAAATTTTCTGTGCAGGTCCACGTCATCGTATAGACCCCATATAACGGTACCTCCCTATATACGATATTTCGATAATTTTAGCTACATTATTCACCGTTTACTTCAAGTTTCGAATTTGAATATGGTAATGGCTTATGACAAACAATGCCTATGTAGGTCCACGTCGTATAGACTCCAATATAACGGCTATATTCGGTATTATTAAAATTTTAACAGAATTTTTTAAGGATTTTATTTTTTGAAAATTTCCAAATTCGTTCCAAATGGTGGAGGGTATTAAAAGTTCGGCCCGGCCAAACTTACTGCTTATTAAATTGTTATTTCGATAAAAGAAGAAGTCGCAAAGACTTACTGATTTAAATAACAAAAGTTAACAACTTTTTATTCAACTTTTGCATGAAAGTTCCCGATTTTTATCGGTAATAACAAAAAATATTAGAGAAGAATCATACTACACACTTTTGAAATTGTTTACTTTGAACAAAAGCGGTTGGTATTTTAAATAATCTTAAAATGTGTATTACTGTTTTTAAGAAATAAGGGGTGATATTTTTGAAGTAGTTTACAAAGTACAAAGTAGAGGCTACCCACAGTCTAATGAATACTGAAAAAAATAATAATCCAAAAGGACTGTATAAGTCTCTCAACTTAATTATTATATACACTCGGCTCTTTTCAATAGAGACCGGACCGGTTGGTCAAAAAATAAAATATGTCTGTATGTGTGCATGTTCACATATACAACGAATACATTGACAAAACATATTGTACGTCGATCACAAACAAATTATTTTTGAAGGCGTTACCGCATAATTAATTATTCGTATTTCATCTTTTAATATTTACTCATATGTATGTATATGTATGTGTGTACATACACTTGGTATTTGGTATGAGTGACTGACTCGTTCGTAGTCTAATGTCATGGATGTTTATTATTCACACGAACGAGTGCTCCAAATATTAAAAATAAACTTAATTATGTTCGAATAGAGCCTAAAGTCATTTAGCATCGTTGTTATAGGGGGATGGGGGAAATAACCCATTTGAACGCTGGGAAAATTTTGAAGCACTTTTTCCATGC